TTTGTATGTTCCCAAAGAAAGTAAGGCGGAACATAGAACCTGATAAAACTACAAGATTTTAATAATATTTAAAGCTGTTACATACTGCAACGACAAAATCTATGCTACTAACGATGAGAAATCCGCCATCTTTTCTGAATATCTAGAAAAACAGTTCACGTTCAACACCTGGCCACGTGACGATCATTCGGAACTCAGCATATTATTCAAGGTCTGTGATTGGCTGAAAGCACCAAGCGCGCGGAACATCCCCAGCCTCGTCACGCCTTCTAAAATTAAAGACCTACTCAAAAAATTTAAATTAAGAAAAGCACCAGGGATTGATGGAATTTCTAATACTGATCTGAGAAACGTGCCCACGAGCATGATTACAAAACTCTCCTCAATATTCAATGCCTGTTTGTTCAAATCTTACTTCCCAGTTGTTGCCTGGAAAAGAGCGAAAATCATCATGATTCCCAAGCCTGGAAAAGATCATTGTAAACCCGAGGGATGTAGACATATTAGTCTCCAACTAAGTCATGGGAAATTATTTGAGCGAATCCATCCTTGCAAAAATGAAGACTTACCTTCATCTACTTCCTCCAGAGCAATTTGGATTCAGACCACAACTCTCCGCAGTGAAGCAATTATTCAGGATAACAGAATTTGCTGGGACGGCTCTGCATTTTAAACTTCAAGCCGCACTCCTCATGTTAGATGTAGCCAAAGCATTTGACTGCATCTGGCATGAGAGGCTCATTCCCATATCAATTGAATTGATCTAAACTTCAGCACAGAACTTATTCTACTGCTGCATTCGTTCCTGACAACACTCGAAATTTCGTCGGAAATTCTATCTCCAAAGCAACATCCATACATGCTGGTGTACCACAAGGGAGTACGGTCGGACCGATACTCTACCTATTCTATGTTGCGGATTTTCCCAAGCCACATTGCTCATCATCGTTGCTAGCATGTTATGCAGACGATACAGCCCTGGCTGTAAAATCAGCTAACACTAACCATGCTTTCAGGAAACTCCAAGCTGAAATCCCTCAAATCGAGAACTGGTGCCGACGATGGAGAGTGGCAATCAATGCCACTAAATCACAGATTCTGGTAATCAGATGAAAGAAAAAAGGTACTCCAATCACGGAAAAACTACTTTTCTTCAACGAGCCTGTGCCGCTTGTAAAGCAGGCAAAATACTTAGGAGTAGTTTTAAACGACAAACTGAATTGGACTGACCACGTGAACTACGTACGGAAAGAGGCATTATGTGTTATTAACATGCTTTTCCCAATCACAGGGAAAAATTCCAGACTGGACCTGAATAAGAAAAAACTTATTTATACTTCAACTATTAGGCCCATCCTAACATACGACTTACCAGCCTGGGCTTCGGTTACGGACAAGGTCATCGGTAACCTGCAAACTGTACAATCTAAATTTCTGATGACTAATGCACACTATTAAGTGCGTAACGACCAGCTGCATAAAGACCTCAAGTTGAACTTTCTAGATAAATATCTCAAGCTGACTAATGAACGTTTTTTCACGAAAGCCCTTGAGTGCGAAACCCTGAGCTATTTCGGTACCTTCCATTATGAACTGTTATACGAAGATCAAATACTAAGACCCTTTGCAGCTCATATGATTGATACAAATTTTCCTACCTAATTTAAGGATATTGAAATGCTATCGGGACTTGTATATAATGTAAATAATGAATATAATTTATCTTATCCGTCTTAATTTTCCTTTTATATTACTGTTTGTAAAAAATGCTGTATAATATCCTCACCACAAATTTTAACCAGGAGACGTTATCAACTCACGAAACACAGGACAGCAAATCAAGACGCCTCCAGACCAATGAGTTGAAACTTCAACACCCACGTGGCAATGGTCACGCCCCTTGACTCACCCCCAGCGCTCCTTCAACCACGGCAGCAGTCAGTCAAGAAATGCCATAGCCAGGCGTCGAACGACACTACTTCAGAGAGCCAGGTCACATCATGCAAGTTCGCATGATAATTCCGACATATCAGCGGAAATAGGAACTTCTCATAAACAGCATCTGAAGGTTTACGGAGCATTAGAGACTTTAGGAGAAGAATAGAAAATGTCTCTGAGACGTCGGCGAGCTCAATCGGCTCAATACCATCAGCTAACGACCGGGGAACGTGACCGTATTATCAAACTCCACGAGCTTGGTTTGTCGCTGCGCACAATAGTCATCCGTGCTGGGCACAATGTGAGTGCCATCCAACGTTGTGTCCCACAATGGATTCAGGAAGGTGTGCGTGCACGTCGAAGAGAAAGTAGTGCGCACAGGTACACGTCAGAGCGCATAGACCGGCGTATTCGGCGGTCAACTATTGGAGACCCTTTCTCCACGTCACGTGACATCCGAAGCCGGTTGCCTCCAGGAGCAGATGGATCTGTGTCCACCCAAACTGTACGCAACAGATTGCATGAAATACACTTATGATCAGAGGTATCAGCCACAAAAGTACCGTTGACTCCTGATGTGAAGTCAGCGTCATAGTGCGTAGACCATCAAATGGCATCGGGTTTTGTTCACGGATGAATCTCGGTTCTCTCGGTGGAGGAATCATGGCTGTCGATCGAGCGAACCGGAGATAGCGGTGACCCGGATAACGGTACGAAACAGCCCATTTCGCCGAGCGTCACACCGGTCTTGCACCAGGCATTATGGTTTGGAGTGTCATAATGTTTGATCACAAAATACCCATGGTATACATTAACGGCAGTTTGACAGCGGACCGCTACGTCACGCAAGTTGTGAGGCCTGTTGTTCCGTCCTGGTTGCAGGGCCCACTCAACACAGTATTCCAGCAAGACAATGCCAAGCCGCATGTCGCACGGCGTACTTTTAACACCCTGGCTGGATATAACATCCTACCCTCGCCGACAGCCTCTCCAAATCTGAATCCCATCGAACACCTGTGGGATGTCATTGGCCGTGACATTAACCGAGGACCACGGCCGCAAAACCTGGATGATCTGCGTACAGCAGTGGATGTGGCTGGGCAAACGCTACCTCAGGCAACCATCAATGAACTCATTGATAGCGTGCCTCGCCGGATTGCGGCCTGTATCGCTGCCCGAGGTGGGCACATTAGATACTGAATAAATTGGTTTATAATGATTTTATCTGTCTGTTTTTTTAATCATTTGCACATCCATCTCACAACTCTCGATCCTTTCTTGGTGTTGCAATTTCACTTTTGAGGAGTGTAGTAACAAAATGCAGACAAAAATATGCCATCTTGATTTGTCGGCATGTGCGCAATGGACTTCTGTTGAATGATAATACTTTACCACACATAAACTAAACAGTCACCAATAATAAGAACTGTGAAATTCTAAATTCACTTTCAACTTCTTTCACATGTTACTTTACTTCTTACTGTCTTCTTATAAACACCAGTGGACCTTCATACATAATGCTCTTAACATTCCTGAGAAGAATAGCATCTTCTAATTTCTAAAACCTTTATCAGAAGATCTTCCCAAAGTATAAAAAACAGAAGTGAAATCTTTCCGTGGTTGGTTGACCAGAATAGCCAGCGCAATTTCTTCCTCATCGTCGTTACTGCGAATATATACGCGAAATACTTGTAGACTGCTAAAAACAACATCTTTCCCCAACTTGTGAGGTAGAAATCTGCTATTCAAACTAGCTTTAAGCAGATGCGTTTTTCGGATATGTTTCTTATAACATTTTGCGTCTGTAGGTTTAATAACATTATAATATCTATTCCATTTATATTGCTATATCTACCATTAAGTTAGCCGTTTCTACCAGCCCCAGGTTTTTTAAATGAAGTTTATTAGCCCAAAGGACGTTAGCCCAGAGGAGCCAATAATTTCAAAACGGAATTTTGCGTCGATTCACTTTTCAAACTGTTGCCACCAAATATTATGGACATGTATTACAGTTAAAGAAATTAAATCATGAAAAATCTTCATGAATGTTTCTTGCATTGTGCAGAAACAACGGTATTTAGAGCCATCAACTTATGAATAACGTAGTCTTCCAACCGAACTTGAAAGCCCGAAATTTGAATTTCGAATTTACTTTATTATCTATTTCAAATTTTGTAAAACTTGAACGAATTTTTGATTAACAAACTCAACGATTTCAAAGCGAGCAACGGCAACAGTGTACGGGAAAAAAAAAAAAAAAAAATCATCTCCACCGCGCGAGACTGTCTATCGAAAATTCTAAAGACATGCTCTTTTTATTAAATTATTTTGTGATATTGATGTTGAATTGAATTTTCTGGTTTAAGTGCGAAGAACATGATAATAAATAAAGGTAACACACAAAACGTTAAAAAAAGGGGCATCTTTGGGCGTAATATAAAATTTGAAAACCTTCAGTTTTTTATTATTATTATTATTATTATTAGTTATTTAAATGTCTTTTCTACTGAAGTAAAATTTTCAACTTCGCTTATGTTCTTTTCCACTTTCTCTCTTAATTTCTTTAAACCAGTTAACTACACATACGAAGTCATTTAAGAAAATGATTTAAATTTCTCGAGCATCTCTTAAAATTCAGTTTCAGAAGACAACGGACATTTTCATTTCTTACTTCATCACTAGATACAGATTTCAATTTCACTTTCCAAATCTTGAGTAATGCCTTTGTCTCCCGTTTTCTCTGTCGATTAAAAAAATATTGCATGATGGGACATCATTATCGAAACGTCGGAATCTCCCAGCATTTATTACCATATCATTTGAATCCATTTCTGATCGATAAGAGTAGCATTCTTGAAACAGTTTGAACACCAGAGTACACGATGACGGCGATTTCATAATAGCTTGCAACATCATCTTCAGTAGTGGTCTCAAAACGGTAGCCCGCAGGTCATTTTTTTTTTTTTTTTTTTTTTTTTTTTTTGGACGCCCTCGAAAACATTTAAGTTATGAAAGAAGAAAAACATGCCAGTGTAAAACATAAAATTAGGTAAAGCAACAACCTTGCGTTTGCTGTAGCTTTTAGTCAAGAATCTATCGATTTCCAGGGCAACAGGTCCCTCTTCATCAAAAGCAAAGAGATCTGTAACGAAGGAAAAGTCACGGTTGAATTTATAGCCAAAAAGAGTAAAGCTAACGAGAAGGTAGCGCCATCCGTCGGCAGAAACAGTAACGAAAATTACAAAAAATTATAATAAAATAAATAAATAAAAATTAAATCTGAAAGGTTTCAACTTTTAAAGGTCGCCTATAAGGGTTTGTTAAAAATTTTTATCGCTCTCGCTGAGCTAGCAGTCTGCCATTCTGCTCTTACATTCACTCCCTCTTAAAACTTTTTTTTTTTTTTTTTTTTTTTTTTTTTTTATTTTTAGTCCAAAGGGATTTGAATGCCGAAGGACTATTAGTTTCGTTTTGGCATTTTGCGTCGGACGGATAAATGTCGGTTCACTTTTCAAACTGTTGCCATAAAATGTTAGAGTCCTGCATTATATTTGAAGAAATTAAATAATGAAAATCTGCGTAAATGTATGTATATTTCTCACATTGTCATAAAATAACGGTACATAGAGTCATCGAATTTTGAATAACGTAATCCTCCCTCCAACGAATATGAGCATGTGGAAGACCAAATTTGAAATTTGAAATTTGTTTTATGATCGATTTCCTATTTTTTAAAACTTTGACGAATTTTTGATTAACAAACTCAAGGATTTCAAAGCGAGCAATGGCAACGTTGTGCAGAAAAAAAAAACATTTTTATCTCCAGCGCGTGAGTCTCTGTATCGGAAATTCTAAAGATATGCTCGTTTTAAAAACTATTTTGCGATATTGCTGTTGCACTGGATCTTATGGTTTAAGTGCGAGGAACATGATATTTAATAAAGAAGGTAACACACAAAATGTTAAAAAACGCCCCTTTGGACGTAATTTAAAATCTGAAACATTTCAGATTTTTTTTTTTTTAATGTTTATGTTTATTTTTTACTCCAAAGGGATTTTGCCCCTGATGGACTATTGTTTTCGTTTTGCGATTTTGCGTCGAAGCACTATAAATGTCCGTTTCACTTTTTAAACTGTGGCCACCAAATGTTAGAGCCCTGCATTATATTTGAAGAAATTAAATAATAAAAAATCTGCATAAATGTATATATATTTCTCGCATTGTGATAAAACAACGGTACATACAGCCATCGAATTCTGAATGACATAATTCTCCTACGAATATGAGCATGTGGAATACCAAATTTGAAATTTGCTTTATTATAGATTTCATATTTTGTAAAACTTTAACGAATTTTTTAATAGGAAACTCAAGGATAACCTTTTTATCTCCAGCGCGCGGAACTGTCTATCGGAAATTCTAAAGATAGGCTCATTTAAAAATTATTTTGCGACATTGCTATCAACAAAGTCGCAAAATTTCTAAAAGCTGCACATTTGGAATTCCCGATGCAGTATTAAGTGTTGGCACACATTTTTATATTTTTTTTTTCAGTCTTTTCTCAATTCATCATTATTCATTTTTCTTAGTAATGTGGCTAACAATTTTTTTTGTCTTTTTATGATTAAAATTTTATGTGTTAACTTAAAATTTTTATCGCTCTCGCTGAGCTAGCAGTCTGCCATTCTGCTCTTACATTCACTCCCTCTTAAAACTTTTTTTTTTTTTTTTTTTTTTTTTTTAGTCCAAAGGGATTTGAATCCCGAAGGACTATTAGTTTCGTTTTGGCATTTTGCGTCGGACGGATAAATGTCGGTTCACTTTTCAAACTGTTGCCATAAAATGTTAGAGTCCTGCATTATATTTGAAGAAATTAAATAATGAAAATCTGCGTAAATGTATGTATATTTCTCACATTGTCATAAAATAACGGTACATAGAGTCATCGAATTTTGAATAACGTAATCCTCCAACGAATATTGTGTTTTCGCCCTTACACCACATAAAATTCAATTCGACAGCAAAATCAAAAAATATTTAAAAACAGCATATACTTAGAATTCCCGATAGAGGGTTTGAGGTTGCCATACATACATATATTTACATTCGTTTTGTTATTTCTTCAAAAACTACTGCTCGCGCGCCCAGTCGCCTAAAATAGTTATCATATAAAAGAAAAAGTATATAATGATTGTAATAAGTCTATCGAGTGTTGTAGAGCCATTAAGTTATTTTCGAAGCAGAAGATGTGGAAAATGAGCAATGCTCTCGCTCTTAAGAACTGTGTTTATTGTTTTTAAATTACTCAGTAATCAGTGTGTTTATTACTTTTATTACTCAGTAATCTTCCAGATTAAATTTGAGAGTATGTTAGGCTTTACTGAATGACAACACGCGTGAAAGATAAAATATTTTATTTCCGACCGCGACAACACATCGCTTTCACAAAGCCGGCTTTGTTAATTAAAATTTGAAGATAAATATCTCACATTGTTTTATGAATGCAAATGTATATTAATATATTTTGCATCAGAATCGTGCTATAAATAGTTGCATAACCTAAATCATGTGTTATAAAGGCTATCTGGAATTCTTTTGAAAGCGGGAAAAGCTTCTGGAAACTGCCGGTTTTTCAAATTTAGCTTTTGTTTCCCGTAAGGCTGGCAACTATGACTTAACCGAAGATCTGTGAATAAGATCACTAAACTCGGAAGCTTCTCCTCTAAGATATCTCTCCTACGGCAGACAGCTGTCATGTGTTTTGACCTTATCAAGTATACAAACTAAACAATTTCATCCAACAGTTATTAGTTTGCCTGTGAAAGGAAAAGCGGATCATTTCCGTTATAGGATTATACACGTCTAACAGTTTTTACACAGAGATATACGCACCAACGTTCTCTATCGCTCTTAATCTCTTACAGTTAAACTGTCGCTCTTAATCTCTTACAGCAGTATTCTTGCATTTAAAGTAAGGTTGTCAATAAAAACGTTTTTAAAAGGTGTCATTCTATTACGTTCTTTGCTTGCTAAACTAAAAGAGATGTACTTGTTATATTTAAAAACATTTTACCATATTCGAAATGAGTTGATGACGAAAGTATGTTTTCTCGCTGGAAGATATGTTGGCCTTGCATCTCTCTACAGAAAAATTAATTGGGGCGTATTGTTCTTTAACAAAAACGATCGGAAACGACTTCTAAATGTGGTACAAATAATCATTTTCTAATACTATCCCTCAGGCCCCCGAGCGGTAGAAGCCGTTGAACACTGGTCGTTCAACGGCTAGCGTAATTTCTTCCTCATCGTCGTTACTGCGAATATATACGCGAATTCCGGCGGTTCGAATTCCGGCGAACGGGCTGGCGGCATGGGCCTTTTTGTAGTTTTCCTCATGTGTAACTTGGATACGAGCCAGTTTCCCTTAAAAATTTCCTCCGCGGGACATCCCTCCCTTTACGTGTAGTGCCTAAGGGCGAAGCACGTAATAAGTATAATAATAATAATGCTCTTCCAACACCATTAATTATTAAGTTTGGGAAAGTTTTTTTTAGAAGCTTATAACAGGTGCATGGAAACGCGAGACAAATGCGGTTACATTAGCAAGTTCAAATAATAATAATTTGACAGATTTACCATGCACAATATAGTACGCGTGGTTATTATGGGACACATTTCTATTATTTTTCTTCCGGTTTATAAATAAAAGCAACGACGCCGTTTTCGAAGATGTCAGAGCACTCAAAAGTACAGCCAGCGGAGGATTCATTTTCTTCCTCGAAAATGTTTTCATCACAATGGTTCTTTCAGTTTTGAAGGGCATATTAAGGTCAGAGTGTAATAAGAAAATGAAAAATTGGAAGAAAAAAAAAAAAAAAAAAAAAAGGGCCAGTGAATGATAGGACCAACCGTTTCCTCTTCTGCGACGCGGGTTGCTCGCATAAACCGAGATTCTCAAAAATGTTGAAGTGGCTATGAGGTTTTAAAAAGATAGCATATGATAATGACGTTGAGTTCGAGAAAACTAGCACACTAAGTGGCAAATGAGAGTTATCTAACAATTTAGCTGTATATTTGTTTAATATCTACGGTTTAAACAGACCTATTTGATTTCACGGAGGAAAATGGCAGAAGCTCCTTGCACAAATTTCAACCACACAATTTACTTTCGTACCAATTTTACTGCTCTTAAAATGTATAACTTCCCTTTTTTAATTTTTGTTCACAAACAGCTATAAAGCTCTTCGGCAGCACCTTAGCTAATTGTAGCTCTACAACGGCGGTCTCTCAAGACGGTTACCTGTTGAAAGAAATCGTTGGGAAAATGCCCGTAACGTTAAAAGGGTTCAGAGAAAATCAGCAACATTCACGAATTCTCTTACCAGTGATTCATCTTTTGACCTTTCGTATCAGGGATAGGTCATTTAAGTGCCTTTCTATCGATAAAAATAGCAGTTTTACACGTATTTAAAATTTTTCAATGAATAAGGTTTCGGAATGCATAAATGTGGAAAACAGTGGACCAAGTTTTCAGTTTTGAAAGACGAAGATTCGCGGAGTAGCTCCAAACAACAAAACAAAAAATATTCGAACGGTAATGATGTTTATTTAGGTTTGGCTTGGGCAAATCATGAGTGTATTCAACAATACATGCGTATAAAACAACTGCAAATCTTTAATCTTAAATAGGATTTTTAATTTATTGTTATATATGCGTCTTCGACGTTAGTTCTAACTGGACAGTTGTCGCAAAATAAATACTGTTTTCACAGTGAGCCCAATATGTTTGGAATACGATGGAAAGAATCAGTTCAAGTGAAAATGAGTACGATTTGTCGTTGAAGAAGAAGGAAATTACGTCTATACACAGACCACTTGACGATAGAGAGGAGGAAAGCAGTGACGAAGATATCGATAAATGAGGAGACGTAAGAATGTAAAAAATCAGGGTAATGGATAGTGAATATGACAGTGATTCCGCAGAGAGTACGAAAAATTCAGAATGGAAGGAATCACAGTGCACAGAATCCGAAGAAATACAGCAAAGAATACAGTTTGTATCCGGCGAAATAGCCGAAGAATCCCAAAGTATCTTCAGACATAAAAGAACCACTAGATTGCAGTGGAAATTCATCAGATATGCGGAAAACCGTCTAGAGTTGCTGGTGCGCCTGAACAGGGCCTCGGGTGCCAAGTTAAGATATTTAGAGCAACGTGCCTGATGCTTCTCCTATAGATCTTCTGTTGATACAAATTGGCATGAACGCGCTTTATACGAATATCATATAAAAGGGTAACAGATTCTTCCCCTTAGCCTCAAAAAAGAAAATGCGTCAA